TGGAGATAAGAGTCTCACGGACTTTCCTGCCCAGGCTGGCTTTGAACTGTGATCCTCAGATCTCAGTCTCCTGAGTAGCTAAGATTACAGGAGTGAGTCAGGCACAGCCTGTTTTTTTTTTTTTTTTTGTCGGACATGGGGCTTGAACTCTGGGCTTGGGCGCTGTCCCTGCACTCTTCAGCTCAAGGCGAGTGCTCTACTGCTTGAACCACAGTGCCACTTATGGTTTTCTAGTCCTTTATTGGAGACAAGAGTCTCAGGGACTTTCCTGCCTGGGCTGGCTTTGAACCATGATCCTCAGATCTCAGCCTCCTGAGTAGCTAGGATTACAGGTATGAGCCACCTTTTGAAGGGTTTTGCTATATGTTTTGCATTCCAGGCTGGTCTCAAATCTAATAGGCTCCTGTTGTAGCTTCCTGAATGCTAGAATTATAGGCCTCAGTCACCATACCTGGATTTTTCTATTTTTTTATTCTTTGTAGTGCTTGCATTTGAACCGAGAGTTTAAGCTTCATTTAGTCGGTGCAAGTCATAGAAAGCATTGAAAACTCTGTATAGTTAGTTGCAAGAGCATAGCATTTGTGCACTTTTCTTTCGTTCTTTTTTTTTTTTTGGTCGGTCACTGGGCTTGAACTCTGGGCTTGGGCGCTGTCCCTGCACTCTTCAGTTCAAGGCAAGTGCTCTACTGCTTGAGCCACAGCACCACTTCCAGTTTTCTAGTGGTTTATTGGAGATGAGAGTCTCATGGACTTTCCTGCCCCAGCTTTGAACCGAGATCCTCAGCTCTTAGCCTCCTGAGTAGCTAAGATTACAGGTGTGAGCTGAGTCACAGTGCCACTTCTGGTTTTCTGGTGGTTACTTGGAGATAAGAGTTTCACAGACTTTCCTGCCTAGACTGTCTTTGAACCATGATCCCCAGATCTCAGCCTCCTGAGTAGCTAGGATTACAGCATGAGTCACCAGTGGCCAGATTGGATGCATTTTGGGGCTTTGTAAAAGTGTTCCAAAACAGTGTTCCATGATAGCTTGGGGTAAAAACTATGAAGCTTATAGAAGAGGGGAAAAAGTTGTGAAGGCTGAATCCTAGTTTGCTTTCTATTTAGGCTACTGTGTTGAGATTTTCATTTTCCATAGACAGTAGTTCTGTCAAAGTATAATTTTGCAAGTAAACTGGAAACTTAGAATCTGATCTTGGCTTTTTCATCGTCAAATTGGTCACCTTTGAATTTCAGATTATTCCTGTAATAAATAGTGTTTGGAATAGTCTTGCCAAAACAGTCTTGACTTTTTGTTTATTTACTTGTTTTGGTTTTTTCAAGACAGAGTCTTACAAGATAGGCTAGGTTGGTCACAAACCTGTTATCCTCCTGCTTCAAATTCCTAAGTGCTGAATTATAGAATCAGCTACCACATCCAGCTTTAAAATGTCTTTTAATATGGTCGTTGATGATAACAAATATATAGCATGGCCTCAGCAGTACTATGTGATTACCCGAATCCGTTCAACTTGTTAAGAAGAAATAGTTATTGGAAGTAAGGGATTTGCTCAGAAAGGTTCTATATGTTGATTGCTCCATGACTCTGCTACAAGAAACACTAGGTGTAGGTTGAATGGTTTTAAACAGTCTCAACGTTTTTGGAAGATTTAGTTTTTAAATTGAATTTGTAGATGAAAGAGAACCAGATCCACAATGGGCTGAGATCAGATTGGTAGATTTGTTAAAACCTCATTGTCAGTGCAAGAAGCCAGGATCTCATCCTCCTGGAGCTGAAAAATTCCCTTTGGTAATGAGTTTCTACCAGATAGTCTTCCAGAAGCCCTATGGGAAGCAAAGCAGTAGTCTCTAGATATAAAGCCTAGTGCTAATACAGAGAAACAAGAAGGGAGGAGCTGGACTCTGGATACTTCCTCATTAAGATCTTGTTCCTTTTCAACCTACTTACTTCTAAGTCTTACTTCCTCATATCAATCCATTCTTAGCAGACTATGCCCTTTTTAATTAATGTGGCTGGCCTTAAGGGAAAAAAAATAAGATCCAGATTTTGTTTTCTGGTTATAATGCCCTACTTCTGTTGGATCCTTAAAAT